GATCATAACTGTTAAAACTGTAAACTAGCACCATGGAGGGACTTATGTAATAAGGTGAAAAAAGCAAGGTACAAAATTGCATAATCACATCTACCAGGATTACATATGCATGTGGACAAAGGCTAAGGAATAACAAAAAGGAAAAAATAGTTGTGTTATGATGGAATGTTAGGGGACATTCCTGTATTGAATAGCCTAGATATTGTTTTTAATACTAGAATTTAAAACAGATGTTTCTTAGAATGTAAAGAGAAACCTATATTTGGCCTTGAAAGTGCATAGGTAATATTTATCGAGAGGTACCGAAAACATGGTCTCGGTAAGGTGCAGTTTTCCTAGAATAACATTTTATTTTTTCATGGAAATTGAAGGGGTATATCTATGTGTGTCTATTTTCAAAAATGGCTCTCTCATGGATCTTTTCCATATATATGTCATAGAGTTTATACATTTGGAAAATTGAGAGTCCATGAGATAAAGTTGTAGAGAAGCAAAACATAATGTAAAATTTTAAAGATTGTTATTGCTGAATCTTATTTTAGATTCCCAGCTCACTTAAAAATAATCCATTCATCTATCCTGCAAAACTGTCTTTTTTTTTTTTTTTTTTTTTTTTTAGAGGTTTTCGCTATAGGGTGCATGCGCTTGCCAGACAGACAGAGAGAGACATAGAGACAGAAAGCGAGAAATCACCCCCCGGGGGGATGGTCACGCCGCAATCTCTTCTCCTCCATTCTCCTCTCGGGATCTTGGGCATGCAAGCATATGCGCCCGGCATGAGTTTTAAGCCACCAGGTCCGGGACGCGAACCATGGTCAACTACGTGGGAGTCCAGCGACATAGCCATTACGCTAATGGCTGGTTCCCCTGCAAAACTGTCTTTAAAAGCCTTGAAAAAGAAACTCTAAAAAATTAGTCTTATTTAATAGATTTCACTGTTTTGGGGGAGGGAATTCAAAAGTTAAGAGTAAAGTAGGTTTACCATTATTAATTTATCAAGTTAGAAATAGTAGGGACCAGCCAGGTGGTGTGATGATTAAGGCAGTTCAACCCACATGGCCAGCTGTGTGGCTCAAGTCCTGGACCTGGTGTGTTGGGGGGAAAAAAAAAAGCCACTGCACTGAACACTAGGAGACCTGGATTTTAGGTCAGGCTCTTAGATGCTTGGCTAAGAATAATTATTGTTCTGAGTCTACTTCCTGATCTGTAAAAGGTTGGGATAAGATAATCTTGAAGCTCAATACTTCTATAATTCTGCAAAGTACAGTTTCTCGTATGTTTGAATATTAAATGCTTTCTGTTTAAATCATTTATTTCTGATTGAATGTAGTCTTTCTTTTACATAAAATGTAAAATGACTTTTTGTGATAGTTTCTTTACTTTTATTCCATACTTTAGCTTTAGTTTAGATCTCTAGGAAAACAACTTGAATTATGATATGAAAAGGAAAAAACCTTTGTTTATACTATATTATTAGAGAAATTGCCTCAGTCAAAGCTACCCTTATATCTTGTTGCTTTTTTTGTGTGTGTATCTTGTGATGTATATGTGTGTTTGTGTAGACTTTGAATCCTGAAGAAAATTAGAAGCTGATAATACTTCTAGGGGTACATGAGATAAGTACTATAATTGGATTTCTAGATGGGGGTCAAGTAATGAGATATTAGGAATCATCTTGTTCATAATTTGTCTTATCTATGCACTTATTTATTACAAAAAGTATGTATTTTAATTTCTAAATCAGCTGAGATAAAGAGAGTTGTTTAAAATAACTTTATGAAAGTGTTCTTTATAATATAGTTTGTGACCATGTATATTATTCTTCCTTTTTAACAGAATTTCTGCTTGTGTGTAATAAGGAAGTATCTGCAATTATTGTGAGAGGTTTCTGGAAACTTAAAATAGTCCATTTAGTGTCATGTCTCTAGGTTTTGTTACTAGAAGGCACTTTGTGTAGTGGTAATTCAGTTTATTAATTCAGCTCTTGCTGTATGGAAGGTGACTTAGAGAAAAAGAGATGAGTAAGACACAACTTCACAAGGCTATATTTCAGTATGGTGAGGCTAAGTTATAATAAACAAAATATTAATTATTAAGAGGTCTGAACAGTATATATGTGGAAGGGGTAAGGATGAGCCAAAGGAAGGGGGTACAACTGACTGAGGAAACTTCAGGTTTCTTGAAGTTAGTCAACATAGTCAGCTTACTATGACGAATTAGAATTTTACAAGTGTAGACCTGGGAAGGTAACATAAAGGATGGAGGTTAGATTCCCTTCATGTATTTTTGAGAAACGATGCAATTTTTTATTTGCTGGGATTAGAGTACTATAGAGAAATAGAAAGATTTATTTATTTCATAAATATAAATTATCTCTACTCATCAACTGTGGAAACAGAGACTAGAATGTTCAGTGTGTTAAGACATTAGGCATTTTAGGAACCATGGAAGATGGTAAAGTTTGAATGTGTCAGGATAGAAGATGTACCCAAAGAAGATGAAACTGGTTGTCAGTCCAGCAGTACTTGCTAGAAAGGGCACAAAGACCCATAAGAGAGTGCTTGTAAGGGCCAGCACATGGTGTGGAGGTTTAGGCAGCTGGATCTCACATGGCTGACTCCATAGTTCGAGTCCCAGACCTGATGACTTGATAAATATGCTGAGTGTTTGGATGTGCATGTCCAAATTCCCAAGAGAAGAATGGAGGAGAATGATTTGTACCCCCCCTCCCCCCACCCCGGGCTGATTTCTCTATCTCTTTCTCACTCCAGTGAGTGCTCATGCGCCTTGTACCCCCCCCCGCCCCGGGCTGATTTCTCTCTCTCTTTCTCACTCCAGTGAGTGCTCATGCGCTATGGGAAAAAATCTAAAAAAAACTCAAAAACAGAAACCAAAAAAACCTTAAAATCTTTTTCTGCTATCAAGGATAAAAACCATGATATTTTTCACATTACCTCTAACTCATGAACTATATCCTCTCAATTCTTCCTATGTGGTGAATCCTCCTTTTCCATTGCCTCAACAAATCATGTGTATACTACTGCATTAGTCTACCATGTGGTCTCTGTCCTATTGTCAGGGTGATTCTCCTAAAGATACAAATTTCTACATGTTACCCAAAAAAGTGTTACCCATTTGGTAGACAGAATGAAATTAAAATTTGTTCAATCTCTTTACCTGTTTTATCATATTTGTTGCATCAGTCACCCTTTGTCTTTTAAACATTCCAAACTCATGCTTTTTCTTAAGCATTTTCCCTATATAATATGCTCCACATTTTCTTCTCTTTCACACAACTAAGCTTAGGTCTTATTTCTTTTCAAAGTCTTTTTCCACCAAAGAGCACTTTTATAACTGCTGTCAATACACTTTATACTAACTTGGGATTTGTATACAACATATTCAGCAGATTCTGAGCTATGTTTTATATGGATGGGTAGTTATTTTTGTTTCACCATGTTCTTGCCCCAAGATAATCTTTTGTACTGCGTAGTTAGACCTGACCAAGAGTACAAAATAGAAACATAGATTAAAAAAAGCAATGGTCAGTAGAAAGCTAATTCTTTGGGGGCCAGCACATGGTGGTTAAGGGTACTGGACTCCCACATAGCTGACCATGGTTCGAGTCTAGGACCTGGTGGCCTCCTTTCTCACTTTCTCTCTCTCTCTCACGCACTCACTGTCCCTCTCTGGTCAAATTAAAATAAATAAAAAATAAAGTTTAAAAAAAAGCTACCTTTTTGAAAATAGACGAAAATTTGTTTTTTGTTAGTTATAGGTATTATCTGAAATGCTTGATACCAGAAGTTTTTCAAAATTTGGATTTAGTTTGGATTTCAAATAACTCATATACATAGTAAGATGTCTTAGGGACAGGACTCAGATCTAAATATGAAATTCATTTATATCTCATATAAACTTTATAAACATAGCGTAAAGATAACTTCATACAGTATTTTTTGTTTTGCAGTGTTTCGACCATGACCCTATCACAGTTTGGATCTTTCTGCCTTTGGTGGCAGATGGGTGCTCAAAAAATTTTGAATTTGGGAGTGTTTTGGATTAAGGATGTCTAACCTATATTAGTCTTATTTTAAATGTATGTCATATAGGTCCTTTGTCTTTCTCAATGATCTCATGGTAGTTGAAGTGTTAACTTTAGAGTTCACAGTTGGAGGCTCAAAAACTTTCATAGTTTATCTCTGGTTTGTTTGTATTTTGGGTTTTTTAACTTTTGTCTGTTCTCTGCTTTTAATATAATTCATATTAATTTCTCTTAGACTAAAACTAATCAAATTTAGTGTACCTGGTAAATCTGCTGAGGATGATACTTGGGAGTCAGAAATATATGGACTCTGGACCATGATTACAATTTAGAAATTTTGAACAAGTCCTTTAAAGACATTGTGTCTCACTTTCTTAATCTATAAATAAAAGTGTCAAGAAAATGACCTTTTAAAATTTCTCTCTAGGTATAAATTTCTGTCATTTCCACTTTTACTAAGTAGTTACTCCTATTCTTTTTTTTTTTCCCCCCCACTTTAAGCTGAAGCCAGACTCTCAACAAAGTTTTTCTTTTAGAGTCTAGTTTTTTTTGTTTCTTAAGAGAGAGATTTTTGCTATAGGGCATGTGTGCTTGGTGGAGAGACAGAGACAGAGAGACAGTGAGAAATCACCCCTTGTGGGGGCGGGGATGGCCACACCACAGCCCCTTCTCTATTCCCCTCTGGGACCTTGGGCACGCATGCACACATGCCTGATGTGAGTTTTTAAATAGCCAAGCCTGGGGCTCAAACTGTGATTGACTATGTGAGAGTCCAGTGATGTGACCATTACACCATCTGCTGGTCCTAGAGTCTGGTTTTTATGATTAGTCATTATTGTGTTTTTCAGGATTTCTTCAGTTCTGGATCCAACGTTTTCATAACAAGTGTACATTAATCATTAAAAAGGATAAATTAATCTAGTTGTGATTTATTTGCCTTTTTTTTAATTTTAAGGTATTTTCAAAAGAAATAATTCCAGATTGATGGATGAAATTTTAAAACAACAGCAGGAACTTCTGGGCCTAGATTGTTCCAAATACTCACCAGAGTTTGCAAACAGTAATGACAAAGATGATCAAGGTAAGCATGAGTATAAAATTGAATACGTAACAGATACAGATGTGTTTTGTTTTTATCAAGGCAAATCCTGTCACCTAGTCATTTATTCGTTCATTTTGCCCCTTTAATCTTCATAGTAAGCATCTATAATCATCAGGTTTAGACTTTTTCTTCTTCATCTTGTTAAAAGGTAAATTTTAGAAAAAGATAAAATAATGACTTTCATATAGATATTAAAAAGTAAGCATATATTAACGATTTTCTATATTTAGTTCAACAGGGAATTCAAAGAATAGACACCTTTATACCTCAGGAATATTAAAGCACATATGTAAATAGAGGGAAAACCTGTTTTTTATGGGGCAAGAATAAAGGTAACAGAACCTCTACTTATTAGGATGAATTTCCATATCTGTACATGAGAATTTTGCATTGTTGTTATAGTAATTCCCTAAAATCTTATCAATTATGAAATAGAACTCCCCTAGAGTCAGGATAATCAGGATTTGATAAGGCATATGCTATACATAATGCGTATTCTATTGAAACACAAATTTTCCTACAATCCTAATTTTATTACCTTTATTCTGGTGCTACTATTGTGTTATGATTGTAGTTGGGATTTTAGATGGTGAAAATGGTTAGCTTGTAATTAAAATTTCTATTTTCTAAAGGATTTAATTATAATGCAGGGTCATTCAGAGTGCTTTGAAAAGGTAGTATTTAAATATATATCTAAATGTGATTTTCAGTGTATAGCTTCTTTCAGGGCAGAATAGCTAAATAATTTTGATAGCAAAATGGAAAGGTTTAAAGAATGTATGCTTATGATAAGAAATGTGCCTTTATTTTGGCTTGGACTTAGTATTTCTTAAAACTGATTTTGAAATATATTTGGAAGAGAGTGGTTTTTAAGTTATCTTTTTTTTTCCTCCTCCAGTTTTAAACTGCCATTCGGCAGTGAAGGTGCTGTCCCCAGAAGATGGAAAAGCAGATATTGTGAGAGCTGCTCAGGACTTTTGCCAGTTAGTAGCCCAGCAGCAAAAGAGATCCACAGATTTGGATGTGGATATGTTAGACAGTTTACTTAGTAAGTCATACATACGTACATACATATATGTATATATATATGCTTTATTTATCTCACAAGGATATAATATGAGGGAAAATATTTAGGTTCCTTTCACACTGTGACTAGTTGTTTATACTTGTACTTCTGAAATTTAAAGACCCATATATAAAAATGATTTTGAGATAATGAAATTTGTATTCACTCACTTGCATGAGGACTTAATAGTAAAGGAGAGAGGACTTTTGAGGATTCTCTTGGTATAGGTGACTATTCTTGGAAATAGACCTTATGTTTCTTATCTCTCCTTTCCCATTCTCCCTTTCTTTTAAATTTGAACTTAATAGTTTTTTTAATAAAGCAATCCCAAGGATATACTTGTGCTATCACCCATCATTCTTTTATTAGTATTCTGTTATGCTGTACCAAATATACTCTACATTTGTCATGTTATATTAAGTATGAATGTCATATATATATATATATATATGAATTTTTTTCCCCTTCAACTTATTAGAGAAGTCTTTGATTTGCTTGTTCTCTCTACATCCCCCTAGGAACTCTTTGTCTTAATTTCATGGTCCTTCTGCTTACTATTAAGTTGTTTGGAAAATCACGGTGCATTTTTTGCATAGACAAATATGTCATGACTTTCCCAACAGCCCAAGTGTTAGCCTTGATTCTTTTGATGAAAAGCTATTTACCAAATTCACATCCATACATAGCTTTAAAAACTGTGATTTCAGATATTTATTTTTCATTGAGTTACCGTCTTTTCATTTTAAAAATAATTTAAAAAATGATTTTATCTAACTTTATTCATCATCTTTTTCAACTTGACCAGAGAGAGAGAAGAGGGAAAATGAGAAAGCAAGCTGCCAGGTTTGGGACTAACACCATGGTTGACAACATGGGAGTCCAGTGCCTTTAACCACCATGCCATCTGCCATTTCCTTTTACCTTATTTCTTAATTATCCATTTCCTGTCTAGCTCAGTATTTACTTAACTTTTTGTTCTTTCTTCTGCTCTGTCTTACTGCAGTATATTTATTCTCTTGTCTGTCATAGAGCAGTCTCTCTCTAACCTCTTGGTCTAACGCCCTACTTTCATCAGCTACTTACTTCTTACCTACTCTTACATTCTTTATTCTATCATTACCTAACTGCTTTATATTCAGACTTAAAGAGTAGTAGATCATGGAAGTACTTTGTGTTGTTATATACTAGTTGTATGTCTGAAATTTAAAGAGCCATATGTGAAAGGTTACTGGGATGCTGACAGTTTCCTGGACCCTGTCAGGCCTTAGCCAGAGAGTAATTTATGAAGATATCCTAGAAGTTGACACGGTCAGTCTTTGGATAAGTCGTAGAGTGTTGATTCCTGGTGTTGCTGTCAGAAGTCAGCAACTTGTGATAAATGAAAATGTGCAGTTCTTAAGTTATCTTAATCTGAAGAAGCAAACACTCCAAATGGCCATTATCCACTAAAGTTCTCTAGTGACTGTATTCAGTCTCCACTCTTCCTGCCCCAAACCAGGCAATCACTGGTCTGCTTTCCAGTGACACTTTGGCTTTTCTAAAAATTTCATTTTAAAGAAATCATATTGTGGTATTTTATGTCTTGCATTGTTTACTTAGCATAAATGTTTTGAGGTTCATCCATTTTGAATGCATTAGTGATTTATTTCTTCAATGGTGAGTTGTATTCTATTTTATGGATATACCACATTTTGTTTATTTATTCATCAAGTGATCATTCATTTGATTTGTTTTCAGTATTTGAGTAATGCTGCTATGATTATTCACCTACAAGTTTGTGTGAACATATTTTCCTTCCTCTTGAGTAGATCCCTACTAGTGTAATTGCTCTGTTTTGTGGTGAATAAATATTTACTTTTTAAGGAACTGTCAAGCTGTTTTCCAAATAGACTATACATTTATATCCCTATCAGCAATGTACAAGGTTCTGGTTTCTCCACATCTTTGCTAAGATATGGTATAGTGTCAGGTTTTTAAAAATTTGAATTTTAGCCTCTTTAGTGGACACATCGTAGTAGTGTTTTGTGGTGGTTTTCTTTTCTTTTCTTTTCTTTTCTTTTCTTTTCTTTTCTTTTCTTTTCTTTTCTTTTCTTTTCTTTTCTTTTTTTCTTTCTTTCTTTCTTTCTTTCTTTCTTTCTTTCTTTCTGTTTTGTTTTTGTTTTTGTTTGTTTTTGTTTTTGTTTTTAGTTTTTACTATATGGTGCATGTGCTTCCCAGAGAGAAAAAGAGAGGAAAAAGTGAAAAATCACCCAGTGGAGGGGTGGCCACCGTGCATTCCCTTTTCCTCTCGGGACTTTGAGCACGTATGCGCCCAATGTGATTTTCAAGTGACTGGAACCAGGACTCAACACTGTGAAGTTAGCCATATGGAATTCAGCACCTTAACTTCTGTGTTTCCTGCTGGCCCATTGTGGTGATATTCATTAACAATTTCATAATGACTAATTAAGTTGGGCATTTTTCATGTGCTAATATATCATCTGTATCTTTGGTGATGTGTCTATTCAAATATTTTACTTATTTTTAGTGAGTTGTTTGTCTTGTTACTGAATTTTAAGAGGCCTATTATATATTATGGATACATGTCTTTTATCCATGGTAAACTACATGATTTGCAAATACTTTTTCCCAACCTATATCTTACTTTTTAATTTTCTTAGTGATTTCCTTTAAACTGTGTAATGCTCCATGAAATCTAGTTTATCCATTTTTTTATTTCGTGGATCATGCATTTGGTATCTTTTTTTTTTAAAAAAAAAGAATTATTTATTTATTATTTTTATTAATAATGATAATAATTTTGACCAGAAAGAGAGAGAGAGAGAGAAACTGATAAACTGATGAAGTAAGCTGCTGGCTTCCAGACTCAACCTGTTGTTGGCCATGTGGGAGTCCAGCACCTTAACTACCATTACCACCTGCTGGCCCTCTTTTTTTTTTTTTTTTTTTTTTTTACTTTATGGCCTGGAGAGAAACAGAGAGAGAATGAAAGTGAGAAAGCACCCCCCATGAAGGATGGTCATGCCACAGTTCCTCCTCCTTCATTTCTGCTCTTGGGATTTGGGGTACTTGGCACACACATGCCTGGTGTGTTTTTCAGGCTGCCAGGACTAGAATCACATAGTTGGTCATGTCAGATGTAGCCTCCAGCCACCCAAACACCATGCCACATTGGACCTTAATGTCTTAATCTAAGACATTTTTGCCAAACTCATAATTACAGTTATTTTTCTTTGAAGTATTAAAGCTTTAACTGTTACATTTATGTTTGTAATGCATTTTGATTTAACTTAAAGTGTAATAGTTGTTTGATGACTGTTGAAAAGACTGTCTTTTTCTCCTGTAATTACTCTGATTCTTCTGTTGCAAATAAGTTGGCCATAAATCTGAGTTTATTTCTATGCTGTTTGTTTTATATCTTTGAATTTTATGTCTGTCCTTATAAAGACAAACTGTCCTGATTACTGTAGGCAAAATAGTAAGCTTTGACATCAGGTAATGTAAGTCCTTCAACTTTGATTTTTTTAAAGTTGCTGGCTTTTCAGGGTCCTTTGCATTTAAGTTAGGATCAGCTTTTCAGTTTTCAAAAAACTCCACTAATATTTTGATATGGATTGAGTTGAATCTGTAGCTCATTTGGGGAGAATTGCCATCTTAACAATTTTAAGCCTTGCAATCCATGAACATAGTATATTTCTCTATTTATTTGGGTCCTAAGTTTTCCCATATCAATGTTTAAAGATATAGAACTTCTACTGCTTTCTTTTAAAAAAATTTGCTAGTGGTTACATGCTCTCATCAGAGATAGACAAAGAGAAGAAGGATAAAATGGAATGGTTACACTACAGTCCCATCTACATTTCTCCAAGAGGGTGTATGCACTTGTCAAAGAGAGACAGAGAGAAAGATAGCTGGCAAGTACACTCTCTATGGGGCATGGTTATGCCACAGACCTTTATCCTTCTTTTCTCCATTTGTCGTTTGGGGGATCCATGTATACACGCCCAGCAAGCCACTGGGGCCAGGACTTGAACTGTGGTTGGCCATACGTGATCTGGCTTCCTTAATCATTAGTCCATGGGGTCAATCTTGAAATTATTTTCTTAATTTTATTTTCAGATTGTTGATACTATTTTGGAATACAGTGTTTTTTTAAATAATAGATTTTATATTCTGCAACTTTGCTAAAATTCACTTAGTTCTAGTAGCTTTTTTTTTTTTTTGTAAAGACATGGAGTTTTCTAAATATAAGATCATGTTTCCTATAAATAAAAATAACTACTGCTGTCTCTGCTCAGTTTTTCAATTTTAATTTTATTTTTTAGTCTGTCTTCCTGTGTGCATAGCTTAGTGGTCAGCCAGTGATTTAAGCACTGGTTGTTTTCAGATACTTTATACTTGTAAAGCTTCCATAATATCTCTGTGGTTTTAGAAAGTGCATTCAGAGTTGCCACCAGTTCTGAAGTGGGAATTCTGATGTGAGATTTGATTGAATGTTTACTTTTAGGATCTTCATATTAAATTTCTGTTACATTGCCTGTTTTAACTGAGACTAAAACCTTGGTCTTGTAAAAGTGTGCATTTTCGTTACTTGTTCCTTTTTGAATTTTCTGTTCTTAGCTTGCAAACCATGGGTTTTCACTTTTCTTCTTTCCCTCTTGCCCTCATCTCCATTTCCAAATTGACTCCTTATCTTTTGGCAACAAGTGACAAATTTTGTTAGTACTGGCTATCAGCCCCATGTTGTTATAACTTGGGGTTTTGAGTAAGGGGGTTGGCAGCAGTCCCGGGCAGTAAGGCTTTTGCCATTCTTATCTAAGTTCTTGCTTATTTTTGGGTTTTGATTTATTTGTTTGTTTTTATAGAGAAATCTTTTTTGTTATAGGGTGCATGCGCTCACCAGAGAGAGAGACAGACAGAGAGACAGAAAGCAAGAAATCACACCCCAGGGGGGATGGCCACTCCGCAATCCCTTCGCCTCTGTTCTCCTCTTGGGGTTTTGGGCGCGCGCGCACACACACACACGACTGGTATAAGTTTTAAGCTGCCAGGTCCGAGGCTTTGAACTGCAGTCAACCATGTGAGAATCCAGCAATGTAATCATTATGCCATCTGCTGGTCCTAGTCTCTATTTTTTAATTACCAGAGAGCTCCTGTGTTTGCCAGAGAGTCATATCAGATTAGATATATCTGGTAATACATCTAGTTAAATAGTCCTTTGGGAAAACTCACATCTGGAATGAACATAGATATTAAAGAATATGTTGGTGAGTTTGGTGGGGAGCAAGGAAACATACAAATGAAAAGAACAAATATTTCTCCAGTGTAAAAGCCAGAGTGATTACCGCATTTTGCCCTGGCCTTATTTTTTTTGTTTGATAAGCAATGCATGTTAAGCTTATATGTATGTCTTTATTTCCTAGGTTCAAATGGTTGTCCTGATCCTGATTTACTATTGAAGTTTGGTCCTGTGGGCAGCACATTAGGCTTTCTTCCCTGGCACATCAGATTGACTGAGATTGTGTAAGTAATTACAGGTATACTGACTTTATTTTAATTGAGCAAGTGTTTCTTGAGCCTAGCACTCTGGTGGGAATTCCCAAAAAACTATAATACTGGATTCTTTATCTCAGGTATTTCACAGTATCAGTGATAAATACTGATGTACATCAATGAGATAAACTTAAGAGTGGGTATGTTTGTGTAGGTATTTGGCATTGACACTAATTATCTTAGGAAATGAGGAATAAGATATCTCTCTCTAGGACAAAGTCATTGAAAGGTTTGATCCAGGCTGTATAAATAGTGTATAATTTTTGTATTTAGAGGAAAGTAAGAGGTACAGGGGTGAGAAGAGAATAAATAAATGAAAGAAAAGCTGAATTTTAAAGAATTAGTGAGGAAGGCCCAGCAGTTAGCATAATGGCTACGTCGTTGAACTCCCATGTAGCCAACTGTGGTTTGAGTCCTGAACCCGGTGGCTTAAACTCATGCCGGGCATGTGTGCGTGCGTGCCCAAGATCCTGAGAGGAGAATGGAGGAGAAGGGATTGAGGCGTGGCCATCCCCCCGGGGGGTGATTTCTCGCTTTCTGTCTCTCTGTCTCTCTCTCTCTTTCTGGCAAGCACACGTGCCCTATAGCAAAAACCTCTCAAAAAAAAAAAGAAAGAAAAAGCATTAGTGAGGAAACTGGGCATTTCAGAGCATAGTCAGTATTAGCTAATATAAGATGAAGTCAAATGTTTTAGTGATGTCAAAGTTTGGAAGACTAAATGTCAGGATAAGGAATGTGTATATTGGTCGACAGGCAGTAGGAAACCATTGAGCCTGAGGATAATGTGGGAATGGTGGTTTTGAAAGATTTTTGTTTGACAGCTATGAACTAGAGTCAGTTGATTTGGGAAAAAATGGGATAAAAGACAGGTGAAGAAGCCATAGCAATAATTTAGGAGAGAATACAATGGAGAGAGTGAAATTGACCTTTTTTGGTAAAAGTCCCGATGCTAAATAGTTTTAAGTTTTATGGACCATGCAGTCTCTTAATAGTTACTCTTCCCTATTATAACTACTCTGTCACTATAACTAAACAACTAGATTGTACATAAACAAATGGTGTGACTGTTCTGATAATACTATATGTATATAAAAACAGATTTCAGTCTCTCAGACTATATTTGTTGACCCCTGATTTAGAATAAAGGAAAAACTTGGTAGCCTTATAATATATTTAATCTTTGAATCTTAGAAGGAAAATGCTACTAATTCTGTCATGAGAACTATTTACCAAACATGGTTTTAGACTTAGTACTTTACTAATTGTGTTAAAAGTTAGAAAAGAAATGACTCATAATTTTTTGTTTTTTAAGTTTTGCCAAAAAAATACATATATACTTTCCAGAGAGAGACAGAGGAAAAGTGAGAAATCACCCCCCAAGGGGATAGTCATGCTACAATCCCTTTTTTTTGTTCTCCTTTCAGGATCTTGGGCATGCACACACATTCGCCCAACATATTTTTCAAGCCTCAGAGTCCAGGACTTGAACCGCTATTGGCCATGTGGGATCTGGCTTCCTTAACCACCATGTCACCTGACTGGCCCCAAAATGACTCTTAAGTTTTAAGTCAAAGTTACTGGGTGAATTACGGTGTTAATGAAAATAAACCAGGAAGTGATGGGAGCATTGATTTTTTTTTTTTTTTTTTTTTTGAGAAGGGGAAGAGTAGGAAAGACGCAAAAAATTTTCAGGCTATAGTCTATTTAGATGGAAATACTTTGTAGGACAGGTAAAGATACTGAATTGGTACTTATGTGAGAAGTCAAAGTTAAAGATATATTTGGAGAGGGACCAGCAGTTAGCGTAATGGCTATGCTGCTGGACCCCACGTAGTCGACCACGGTTTGAGTCCCAGACCCGGTGGCTTAAACTCACGCCGGGTGTGTGTGCGTGCGTGCCCAAGATCCTGAGAGGAGAATGGAGGAGAAGGGATTGCAGCGTGGCCATCCCCCCGGGGGGTGATTTCTCACTTTCTGTCTCCCTGTCTCTCTCTGTCTGGCGAGCGCATGTGCCCTATAGCAAAAACCTCTCAAAAAAAAAAAAAAAAGATATATTTGGAGATTATCAATACATAGTAAATAGTTGAGCCCGTAATAACACAAGACCCTTCCAAAGTACACGAAAGGGTCCTTTGAGAAATGCTCTGAGCTTAGAAACAGGAGGAGAAAAAGGTGTCAAAGTTACATCACATGTTGGAGTCAGAAAGGACTGTAGACCATCTAGTCCTGCCTCATTACATAGGTGGGAAATTGGAGAAGAGACATTGTTCAAGCAAGTAATAAAGTGGAATTCAGACACACATCTAAAAACTCTGGGTTTCCTTGTGGTGGGGATATGCTTCTCTTATTTTTATCCAGGGGTTTTCTAAGTCTTTTCAGGTCCCTGTGAGGTGGGCTACAAGAATGCCATCAGTGATACCTTGTAAAGTTGTGTAGGTTTAGAGGGAAGAATATGTTTTAGAACAGATAGATCTTGGCTTGAATCTTAGCTTTGCTGCTCCGTAATGTGACTTTGGAAAGCTATGCAAACTTCTGTATATTTGTATGCAATAGATATTTTTACATGGAGATGAGATGTTAAATCTGATGATAGACATCAGCTATCTAGCACATTAACAGGCTCCTGCACGTACCTGTGTGCTTATGTCTGCCATAGCTCTGTCACGTTCTAATGTGGTTTGCTTTCTATTCTTTTATCCTTGCCCAGACTGAGCACTATCATGGTGGGGACAGTGTTTTAATCATATATAGAGAAGTGGAAAGGTGGATTCTGACAGAACAGCTTGGAAGTAGCAAGATAGCTTCTAGACACTGAAGGGTTGTGGTCAGTGCTTCTGTAGGTGTGAGAGGAGATGAAGTTATTGGTGAGAAAGAGGGTGAGATGAGGTAGACTTAGGAAAATGGAGTTTGAGAGGAAGACATTTAAAACAGGCCTTAGCAAGAAGAATGTTAAATGTGAGGATTAAATGTGTCTTCTGAGGATGTCACTTCAGTTGAGTGAAATAGAAGGTTGATAACAGATTATTAAGAGATGATAAGAGGTTGAAAAGAATTATGTGAATTATGTGAATTGGCAGCCAGGGGAAGGATAAGAAAAACAAAGCTAAAGAGAACGACAGGGTCGGAGAAGAGTTCTTTCATAGTAGATTTATTCAGTCCTTTTTTTATGGTGCATATGACTTTGGAACTCTAAATTTGGTATCTTGTACTTTGGCCAGGTGTTTAACTTTCATACTATTTGGAATTTCCAAGCCTCTTATAAAACTGTCTAAATTAGAGATATTTTTCATGATAATTATTGTAAATTATTTTAGTATTTAAAATAGTTAAAGGAGTACTTTCTGGGTGTGTTGTTTACTCTGTCTTTAAAGTAATTGTCTTCATATTGTAATTCCTTGAGCAATTGGAAATACTGGAGATAAATGTTCATTTATTGATCACTCACCACATGACTTTAAAATATCGTCATGCATGGGTGCTGTGCAGTTCTGCCCTACATGAAATGTGTCTTTCAAAAATTATTGAGACCAGCAGTTGGCGTCATGGCTATATTGCTGGACTCCCATGTAGTCGACCACAGTTTGAGTCCCAGACCTGGTGGCTTAAAGTCATGCCAGGTGCGTGTGCATGCATGTCCAAGATTCCAAGAGGAGAATGGAGAAGAAGGGATTGTGGTGTGGCTATACCCCTGGGAGGTGTTTTTTCGCATTCTGTTTCTCTGTCTTTTTGTTGAGCACTGTGCCCTATAGCAAAACAAAACAAAACAAAACAAAAAACTCTCAAAGAAAAAATTGTTTAAGTATTGGCTTTACTCTGACCAAGAGGAGTTTTTTTTTTCCCCCAAAAAAGAGATTTTTGCTATAGGGTGTGTGTGCTTGCTGAAGAGACAGAGACAGTTAGAAAGTGAGAAACCATCTCGCAGGACTATGGCCATGTTACAATCCCTTCTCCCCTATTCTACTGTAAGGATTTGGGGCACACATGCGCACACACCCAGTGTGATTTTAAGCCACCAGTCTGGGACTCAAACTGTGGTCAACTACGTGGGGGTCCAACAACGTAACCATTACGCCACCTGCTGGTCCCAAGAAGAGTTTTTAAAGTGAATTTGAATGACATCCTGTAGATCTCGGCCTCCCATCCATCCATCCATCAATCAATCAGTGTAGGCTAATGCTTTTTTTTTTTTTTCCCAGAGAGGTGTTTTTTAATTTAAGAGAGATTTTTGCCATAGGACATGTGTGCTCACTGGAGAGACAGACAGAAAGCTAGAAATCAGCCCCCGCCTCCCAGGGAGTATGGGCTTGCCGCAGTCCCTTTTCCTCTAGTCTCCTCTCGGGACTTTGGGCACACATGCAATCCCAGCGTGAATTTAAGCCACCAGTCTGAAATTCAAACCATGGTTGACTACGAGGGAGTCCAGCGACATAACTATTATGCCATCTGCTGGTCCCAATTTAGGCTAATGCTTTAACAGTTACCACAATTTGCTTTTCTCTTCTCATGGTTAGAAAGGCAGATGTATTTTGGGAACCAGCAGTTAGTGTAATGGCTATGTCGCTGGACTCCCATGTAGTTGACAGCAGTCCGCGTTCCGGACCCAGTGGCTTAAAACTCACGCAGGGCGCGTGTGCGTGCATGCCCAAGATCCCGAAAGGAGAGTGGAGGAGAAGGGATTGTGGCATGACCATCCCCCCTGAGGGGTGATTTCTCGCTTTCTGTCTCTATGTCTCTCTCTGTCTGTGTGGCGAGTGCACGCGCCCTATAGTGAAAACCTCTCCCCCCCCAAAAAAAGGGCAGATGTATTTAAATTCAAACTGTTTGATCTAATCTCTTAGAAAGATCTCTTAGAAATAGTTGGGCATATTCTGTTTATATTTTATTTTCTTCTGTTAATATCTTTTTGGTTATTGTCTGGTTCCCTCAGCATCAAATTACAGTGTATCATCATCTAATTGCTATTTTTCCCCCTGTGTTTTCTTTTCAGCTCTTTGCCTTCCCACCTAAACATCAGCTATGAGGACTTTTTCTCTGCCCTTCGTCAATATGCAAACTGCGAACAGCGTCTGGGAAAGTAGTGATCCCTGATTGCATAACTTGACTTCAGGCTTTTGGAGAAAAGGACCCCAGTGACTCTGATGTTTACAAAACACCAACCCTGTATACACCTAGTTCATAATCCTCATAATTTATCAACAAACACAAAAAAGTGTCTTACTTGAGAGTGAGTGTGTGTGTGTGTGTGTATGTGTGCATGTATGCGTGTATGGAAATAAACTTATAAATGAGGGAAGTATTGGAGAAGGAAATACGTAGACCTGCATCTTTGAGCATCCAGCAGCAATGTTTTAGGAGTGGAAACTTCAGATTTATAGGCTTTAGCCTCACTTGTTGCCCTGATTTTGTGGGGAGAAGAGGGTGACTAGAGCTGTTTCAGTGGTTGTTTGTGGGGAGGGGAATAATTTTTGTTCAGTTTTTCCTAGTGACCAAACTTTAATTTTTAAGAATAATATATTGATTTATTAAGTGGAAGCATTCAGAGCTTGAGGAGCTCCAGGGGAATGGAGTTCTGTGTTGCTCATGTGTTAAAAACCTGCTCATCTTAGGAGCAGTGAGAATACCTGTCTTCAGATATCCGTCCATTTTCCTCTCTTACTTCTCTATAATCAAACAGTGCAACTTAAGAATGTTGCTCTGGTGTCGTGGGTCATGGAAGATCATTTGAAAAAGAACTTTTAGTACATTGAAAAGCAGAATTTAAAATTTTAAGTATCGGATTAAGCAATTATAAAAAGAAGTCAAATAAGGTATGGTCTTTAAAGGAAAATTTCCTTACAAAGGAAAGAAAATTTTGATTTTCTTTTTTGTTTGGATAAATATTTGAGGGAAGTTACTAAGGCATTCCTTTCCTCAAAATAATCTGTTCCTCTTTGGAATAGCACATTTAGGGCCATGTTAATACCCAGGGTTTTTACTTAGTACATCCTGATGGTGACTTTGCATAAATGATCTTTAAGTTGGATTGAGGACTATGTAGGGAAGAAATTATTACCAAAGTCTACAAAAACAATTTCAATCAATTTATTGTTCTCTTTTATGACAGAACAGCACTGTTTTTTGTTACTTTTAAAATTAATAAATGATTTCTTGATAGGTGTTTAATATTTCTTCCTTCATTGCTGAATCTTTGGACAAAATCCATTCTTTTTATTTGCTGGACTTTGAGAAAACTCTTATCAACAAATGTATTATAGTTATTTAAAATTGTACCTTTAGAATGGAATAGTTTAAATATTAGATCTCAGAAATCTGAGAAATAGCAAGGAAGACTGGATTTGGAAAGCACAGTCTGGAATTGCTTGTCAAATTCTGAAGCTATGAAAAATAAATGTTTCATCTTTGGATTATAAAACCCATTTATGATTTTAAAAATATACTTGAAATAAAAATGATTACACTAAATTTTGGTTCAGTGACATTACTTTGCACTTCATTGTCATTTGTACATTATAAGACTATTTTTTTCTTCCGGAAGTCTTAACTTATTCATGAAAATGTTGTGGGAAGTTACAGCACATCTAAATTTTATTAGATAATGTCCGATTTCTGTTCTTCTGTACTGTGGTCCATGTTATATGGAAACTTTTTTGGCTTAGTTTAAGACTGAATTCATGCCTTTCATAAACATGATATGAATGTCTTTTTAAGCATTCTGGAGCGAGTATAGCTTTAATGAATTAAATTTAGTGGGTCCAGGTGAAGATTTAATATTTGTTAAAATTAAGTTAATCAATACAAACTGGAATATAACCCAAGTCATGAAAGGTTTAATGTTTAAATTTTTGTACTTTTAGTTTCTCATCATTTCATAATGGTGTACACATCAGTGTAAATCTATATCCAGGGCTGCTTTAGTCGTAGGAAGAATCCCTTAAAACAGGTTGCTAGAGGTTTGAATTCAGATATAAGCATTCCAGATCGTCTCTACATGAGCTTAACTGCTAGTACAATCACCACAACTTGAATGGCATTGGTTGCTCCATAATTCTGGCCAAAATCATCACAAGTTATGCATCATCAAGGTTCCCTCTGCATTTTCAAGAAAATATAGTTTTAAAGAAAAGTGTGTGTGTTTATGTATTTTGAAGGATATTGTCTTTAAATTATTTCTTCTTGACACTCCACAGTGGAAAAATTACCAAATTAAACCTACTTTATGGATGGCAGCTTGGAGCATGGCAAGAAGTTGGAGAATTTGAATTCATTCCCAATTCTGGTTGTGTTTTGTTTCTTGAAACTAATTGACTACTGTCATAAAGTTTAAAGCTGAATTTTAATGTGAATAGCAAATTCTGGAATATTGTGACTAAGGCTTATGAATGCCCGTCTGAGAGGAAGGTGTTATAATATTAATGAACAGTGCCAAATACACTGTGCATATCTATAATTTCAATCTTTGAATGTATGTTACTTGATTGTCTCCCCCCTGTGTGATGGTTCCATGCATAGAGTCAGTTAAATTCTTGTGATGTTTTGTATGGCTGTAGACTTTGGCGACATGTAAATAATGTGTAAAGCAAGTTTTTATGATTAAGGAATCAAATTTATTGAATTTTATTATTGAAAGTTGAAACTTAACATGTATGAACAAATTCCAATAAAAGAATATACTCTTTTCATGGGCTATAGTATTATGTGAATGATACATTTATTACAAACATTTAGGGGCAGCAGACATGTAATGAGAAATTTATATAACTAGATAGCAATATTGTTTTTTAGGTGGTATGTTTTTGATTGAAATAAATCCTTATTTTTTTTACTGGGTTATACGTATTTGAAATCTTAACATGTTATTTGCTTTTTGTTAGATAATAGCGAAATAAAGTTCAGCTTCACTATTGTTTGAGTTATTTGAACTTCACGAAGTCTGAATTGATTTTTTACTGAATATTGAATTGCCAAAGTAAAGATATGTACATATATCCTTTAAAAATAGTTTTTGTCCTACCAGAAAATTGAAAGGGGAGAGCTGTTATTTATCTTATGCTACATTGAGTATTCACTTTACAACTTGAATGTAATGGTGAGACAATTGGCTTTTTGTGCAGTTTTCATCTAAAATCAGGTTTATCAAAGATCCCATTTCTTCTTCTTTTTTTTTTTTTTTGGAGAGGTTTTTGTTATAGGGTACATGCACTTGCCAGAAAGAGAGAGAGACAGAAAGCAAGAAATCACCCCCCAGGGGAGATGGCCACGGCATAATCTCTTCTCCATTCTCTTGGTATCTTCAGCATGCGTGCACACACGCCCGGTGTGAGTTTAAGCCACCGGGTCCGGGACTCGAACTGCAGTCAACTACATGGGAGTCCAGCAATGTAGCCATTATGCCAACTGTTGGTCCCATCAAAGATCCCATTTTAAAGTTTGTTGTTATTTCTTTCATGAGAGAAAGACCCTCAACAGGGTCCTCATGCTGCAGCCCACCTCCATTCTCAGCCAGCCAGGATCATGTGCACACACCCAGCATGTTCAGGAGGACCTCAGGTTGGAACCTTGGCCCTTCTCATGTGGCCATAGCATCTCAGAGAATATTACGTTACTGCTGTGTTCCTGCGGCTGGCCCAGTGATAGCATTTTAACTCTGCCTAATATGAAATGCCCACAACAAACATTACTGGAGTTCAGGACAGTTCAAAATTAACCCAGGAAACAATGTTAGTGTCAGTAATCACTTAAGATCTTATCTGATAGGCCAGTAACTGATAGAATTAGAGAATCAATGAAGAATAGAAGGAGTTTGCTTAAGATTAAAAGAAAAACAAAACAAAAACAATACATTCAATAGAAGGAAAAAGACAGGATTCAGCAAAGTGGAAATAAAGGAAAATAGCCATGGATTACATTTTTCGTGACAATCCATAAGTTTTTTGTACTTTAAATAATGTATCGTGCTGTAATAGGTTTTGTTTGTTTGTTTTTGAGAGGTTTTTGCTATAGAGTGTGTGCACTTGCCAAAAAGACAGAGACAGAGAAAGCAAGAAATCACCCCCCGGAGGGGGATGGCCATGCCACAATCCCTTTTCCGTTCTTCTCTCGGGATCTTGGGCATGCACTCACACACACCCAGCGTGAGTTTGAGCCACCAGGTCCAGGACTCGAGCCGTGGTTGGCTACATGGGAGTTCAGCAACATAGCCATTACACTAACTGCTGGTCCCTGTAATAGGTTTAATAAAGATATTTTAAAAAATGAAAACTATGAACTGATAGAAATTAAGAGTCTTGCATTCTGTTTTGTATTTGGCTTATTGTGTATGGAAATAAGCAGTTACAATAGCACATGAAAATAAATTATACAGCAGTTGTGCTCCACATTGTTGTCCTTAATGAATATTTAACTTTGGTCTAAATACTCTTTTTTTTTTTTTTTTAAGAGAGAGATTTTTGCTGTAGGGCACATGCGCTCACCAGAGAGACCAAGACAGAAAATGAGAAATCATCCCCCAGTGTGATGATCACGCTGCAGTCCCTTCTTCTCATTCTCTTGTTGGAATTTTGGGCATGCATGCACACATGACCAGTGTCCAGGACTCAAGCCATGGTCAACTACGTGGGAGTCCAGCACCTTGACCAACATGGACCTGGTCTAAATTCTTAATGTGACTATGCTTATCTCCTCTCTTGCAGCTATTTAGAGATGATGCATTAATTTTAGCATGACTCATATGCAGATGATTACAAAAAATAAATGTACTTTTAGATTAAACTATTTGGATTATCTCCTGTTGACCAAATTTATATTTTTTTCACTAGTAGCTAGTAATTTAAGTTGCAGTTATGAGAACAAGAGAAAATGGTTTAGAGAAGGAAAGATTGAGCAAAGTGAAAAAAACCAACATAGGTAAGTGTTAATGGTATATATAGTTCTGTATTTGTATAGAGTAATATTTCCATTCTGATGAAGATTTATTTCAGTTACTATATATTTACTGATTTGGTTCTGTAAACCCATCCTTTATTTTAATATATACTTAGCAATGTTAGTTCTTAATAACAGGTTTACATAAAAGCTGCCTTAAATTTCTTATTTTTACATTCATTGGAGAAGTGGAAGGTAATGGTAAGAGTAACTTTTCTCCAAGGGAGGAACTTGCATTTTAATTTGGTTTCAGATTGGAACTTGAGAAAAATTTGGAACTATTTACCTGGAGATGTTTGATATGTGTTTAGTCCTATGGTCCCCAACTTGAGCAATTTTGCCTTGCAATAGACATTTGACAATGTCTGGAGACATTTTTTTTATCACAACTTAGGGAAAGGAGGATTTGAGAGGTACTAGATGTTTAGAGCCATGGAGCTGCTAAACGTGCTAAAGTGTTCAGATAGTCCCTTGGAACAAACCAGCCTCAAATGTCAGTAGTGCTGAGACTCAGCATCTTTGGTCTAGTGTGATTTCCATAGTTCTTTCAGTCACTTTTTAAATTTGAGAGGGTAGTGCTAGATGTTGCCGTTTTTTAAAAATAAGTTCATTTACATTTTATTTTTAGAACTAGATTTGGGGGTGAAAAAATTATTATGGATGCATATTTTAATTATATGAAATGTATTTTTCCTCACTCATTAGTTTTATTCATTTATTATATTCACATTTGTCTTTGACATTTTGTGTCTGCTGAGTTTTCCAAAGCCTGTCAGTTTATTGTCTTATTTGAAAGAAAATATTTTTAAAAGATAATGTTTCACCTGTGTATAATGTCATAAGAAATCCTATGTTTCAAATTACCTTTTTTTAAGAGAGATTTTTGCTATAGGGCATGTCCACTCACCAGAGAGACACAGAGAGATATAGAGACAGAAAGTGAGAAATCACCCCCCTCTTGGAATTTTGGGCACACACACACGTGCCTGGCATGAGTTGTAAGCCGCCAGATGTGAGATTTGAACTGTGGTAGACTGTGGGATTCTAGTGATGTAACCATTATACCATCTGCTGGTCCCCAAATTACTTTTTTATAAACATTAATTGGGCAGTTTTAAAATTCACCCTGTAGGTAATTGTGATTTTCACAAATTAATAACCATTTATATTGTTCTTAAAAATGATCTTTAAAATGCTTGTTTGTAACGTGTCCTATACTTGTTTTTGAGATCATGTATGTCCAGGAATGACTAGATTATTGTTAAATTTCCTTGCCTCCTGTTTTTAAATAATTTCTATTTTTAAGTAAGACCTTTTTTAGCCTTCTGAAAGTAACATTGATTGGTGGTTTTGATCTAATGTGATTTTTCCCAAATATGAATTGCAGTTCCTATAAGTAATAACAGTATGACTCATAAAGAGATTTTATTTGGCCAGGAGAAAGATGACTTTTTCCAAGGGATAATTATATGCAAATAAACCTTCTCTTCAGGTATATGTGGGATGTAAACATGTATGATAAAATAGTCCTAATAACTCTGCCATTGACTTTAGAATATTCAGTGCAGAACCAAATATAAAGAATTTAGAAAATTAATAGAAATGCAGTCTCCAGGCAGACGATTTTTATTAATTATTAATTTATGAGTTACTTGGAGGCTGAAACTCATCAAACATAAATGGGCAGAATATCAAGTTGCTTGCAGAACTAATCCCTGTCAGACATACTGCAAAGGCCTATCAGATGTTAATACCATCCCTATGCACAGAACATATCCTTTGGTAATGCTTTAATTAATTTCAAAGAAAGAATAACAGCTTTCTCACTGCCTACCCTTCTGGCCCTGGAAAAACAAAGTTAAAATGAACGTGTGTGCTTTGGAATGTGGACTTTATCCATTTAAAAAGAAAAGAAGTATATGTAAAACAGTACAACATGACTACCTAAGTGGTAATTATGAACAGGAATTCTATTTTGCATTATTTTTAATCTAAGTATTTTCCAAAAATGTGAACTTAACCACTTGATAGGACTGGTGCTAGGAAGCCTTTTCCAATCTTAAGTGTCAGCATTGTTCCTCTCTACTCCCAAATATCATTCCCTGTATAAGAAGGAAAACATGATTTTTCTCCTATCATAGCTAATCTTCACATTATATCTCTGCTACCATCTTATCCTGTCATCAGGACTTTTTCTCCTTCCTATTTTCATACACTCTGTACTAAATTCTTCCCCTCAGCAGCAGGTGCATGCACGTTTTTAACCTTTCTAATTCAAGTCATGACCTTTTTCCCTTTAGTGTTAAATCTTTTAGAAGCATTAGACTATTACCCAAGCTCCTTAAGTCCTCAAAATTTCTGATTTTCCTACCTCACTCCCATATCACGTATCACCTTCTCACATACTGTGTGATTTTCTTAATTATTAAGCTTATTTTTATAACCTGCCTCCTACCAGAATGTAAACTCAATGAGGGCAGGGATTTTTAAGTTTTATTATTTTTTGGGCTAGCCAGTGGTGTAGTAGTTAAGGCGACTGGATCTCATGACCAATGTACAGTTTGAGTCCTGGACCTGACAACTTGGAAAAAATACTGGCACACTGTGTGTGTGTGTCCAAAATTTTGAGAGGAGAATGGAGAAGAGATTGCAGTGTGACCATTGCCATTGGGGTGAGAGGTGCTTTCTCACTTGATCTCTTTTTCTGTCTCTGGTGAGTGCATGCACCCTATAACAAATTGAAAAACAATATTAATTT